CATAAACATGACACTACCCCCGGGGTTTACACAGACGAGCCGGCGAAGCAAGAAGAGCGCCAGAAGAAAGGGCCCTAGCCGGCGGGGCCCAGCCAGGACAAAAGGAGGTCCCACAAAGCGCCTACACCGGCCGCATTTGCGGTCGGGGTAGACGACGGATGGGGCCCACCTACGAAGGCTGTCCAGGCCTACACGAGATGAGGCAGGATAAAGAGGGATAATCCCCCTCGATCCCAAATCATTGAGGCCAATTTCTAGCCATAGAATAATGGCGCGCGCTCTACAACCTTATTATTAATAAAAAAAAAAAATAATAATCTGTGATCAGGTTGGTATCACTGTGTTGCAGTGATACGAACATTACAAATCGATTTAATTAGTAAAATTTAAAATTTGGTAAAGTTGCAAAAAATGAACGATTAAAAGAAACTACGGAATACGAAATAGAAATTAGAAAATGAATTATAAAATTCAATGCATCAAATCAGCTTCAACACAAATTTATATTTATATCACCTAATATCGCCATGATTTAATGATTTATGTAATCAATATACAACGGTTGCAAAAAAAGGTCTGAAATATAAACACAGTTAATTTTGATAAAAATTTAATCAGTTCTAAACAGTTTCTGCAATTAAATACAAATAATTATTAAAACATTAATCAAAGTAATCCTCAATATCGATGTCGGGGTTAAGAATATCATCGCCATAAGGCGACAAATCAATCTGATTTAATATTAAGTTTTCTGCCATTTCCTCCAAATCTGTATCCCCAATAAGAACTGCACCCTGCAACTTATCATTTTCTAACACGAATTTGATGTATTCCAGCCCTTTAGTCATCCTAAGCAAAATTTCATAGTTGGTGCCTAGTTTTTGTCCGTTAAAGAGACCCAGCAATATAACTTTGTATCCGAAAAGTCGAGTTGAGTGTGCGAACATTTCAAAACAGAAATCCTGCAGGACTTCTTCACCGTTTAAGTGACCGACCATGCTCTTGGCAGCGTAACAGCCCATTTGTCTTGCTTGGGTCCAGAGTTTCATCTGAAACCAGTGTTTCGCCACAGGCCAGTTAGCGCTGCAAATATCACCGGCAGCATAAATGTTGAGCAGGTTCGTTTGCATATACTCGTTTACTTGTATGCCCCCATCTTCGGATAATTCGAAATTGTTCTTTGTGGTAAAATTTCTTCTTGCACTGACTCCGGTCGCCGATATCACTAAATCGCAATCGATTTTTTCTCCGTCAGTTAAATTCACTTCTAGAGGGAATACCGAGCTGGCTGGTTTTTTCACAGAACTGACTTCTGACTGATAGTGAACTGTTACGGAAGAAGGTACTTCTGCATTAGCCCCGTTAATTATTAAGTTCTTATACCAATCGGGGCCTAACGCAGCACCAGACTTTTTAAATTCTTCTTCCTTGTACCTCATTCTCTTGCTTACTGGAGGTTCACACATTTCTCTCTTTTCTAATGATGGCTGAAAGAACTCTGCTGCGCCTGGATCTACAAATGTTGCAGCTATATGTCGGTCTTTAATAACCCAATGAATCTCAGCATTTTGAATTTTGTACACCAATTCGGAGGCTATACCACCGTTGCCAACAATTATAATCTTTTTAGACTCCTTCACTTTTTGCACGACACTTTCTACAGAATCTGTGTCCCTAATACCCAATATTTCAGGAAATTCATTCGCTTGTGGTATCAACTTGGGCTCTGCTCCCGTGCAAAGACACAAATACTGGTATTTTATGGTTTTACTATCTTTCGTCTTGATGAAATGTTCCTCGTCATTAATTTCTATAAGAGTATCATGAATAACGGTGATATTTGAATGTTTAGTGCTGAATTCTTGAGCACTTATTTCTTTTATATCGAAATTGGTTAAAATTTTTGTAATAGCATGCAGGTTGGTAACGGTTTTTATTAGGGATGATTCGCTAAGCAGAATTATGGATTTTTCTGGTTCAAAAAATGCTAATGTCTCTGCACAAGTAACTCCAGCTATACCACCTCCGACAATTACAAAAACAGCCTCCATAACTTACTGATTTTCACGATAATAATCAGAGTAATCGTATTCTCTAAATGGGACGTCGAATGTTAACAAACCTCTATCATAAGCCCGTTTGATGCTAACAATCAATTCTTGATGCTTTCTTTGGCAGATGCCGGTTTTACTATAACTTAAAATACTGCCCGTGTGTGGACAAATGAACTGCTTCAACAGGTCCACATTTTCTTCGTGTAAAACTAGATATTCGTCTCTGCAAATGGGGCAAGGATTACCAGTTGATATTTGTCCCTGACGAATGCAAGTTTTCCGTGTCTTTCTAGGCGCAAAAGCTCCTTTGTGGTTTCTTCTATAGGCCACCCAAACGGGTTGACCCTCGTAAGTCTGTTTGAAAGCGGCGCTCTTCAGATATCTAATGCTGGTTTCAACAGGTATTTTCTGGGTGCGGTCTTTAGTTATTCCTCGGATTTCTAATGTTGGCTTATCGTTAACAGTTTCACTCTTTAATATAGCTGTACTTGACAACTGTCTCGCCCACAGTGCTTTTGGCAATACGTTTCTAATTAGCGACACTGAAAACATTCTCAGAGAAGTTCTGAGTTCTGCTTGCAAATTAACCTCAAAAAAGACATATTATGACAGTGTTGCCACACGTCACACGTGAATCATAATATTCACTTGCTTGGCAAAATTACCGCCGTTTTTGACAACCATTACGGCGGCCTTCAACAGGGGACAGTACACTGGTGCTGTCTTCCTGGACGTCGCAAAGGCCTTCGATACGGTTTGGCGTGAAGGCCTACTGATGAAAATGCTCACCAACCAATATCCCATATCCTTTACCAAACTCATAAAATCCTACCTACACCACCGTAAATTCCGCATCCAAATCCAAGATTCCCTTTCCACCACCCGTCCCATGGAGGCCGGTGTCCCCCAGGGCACCGTCCTGTCCCCACACTTATACACCATTTACAACTCCGACATCCCACATCCCCCCAACACCAACATATACTTATACGCCGACGACCTGACAATCACATCCCAATCCGTAGATCCTAGATATTCCGTCTCCCTCCTCCAAAACTCCTTAGACCAACTTGAAACCTGGTGCAACAGGTGGAAAGTCAAAATTAATCCCAACAAAAGTTCGGCTAACCTTTTTACCAAACGAAAAATCCCACAAAACCTCGACAGACTGACACTATCCCAGGAACCTATCTCCTGGAATCGACAAACACGATACCTGGGCGTGACGATGGACCAGCGTCTCACGTGGAAACCGCACATCGTGGAGACGGTGGCGCGAGCGAAGACCACCAGGGCTAGGCTCTATCCCTTACTCAAAGGTGGAAACACCCTCAGTTTAAGGAATAAGCGAACGCTTATCAAGGTGGTACTTCAACCGCAGCTAACCTACGCCTCCACGGCGTGGGGTCACGCGGCAAAAAGCCACTTAAAGTCATTACAGGCTGTGGAAAACATAGCCCTCCGCACGGCCACCGACGCGCCCTGGTACGTAAGAAACACTGACATATTACGAGACTTACAATACACAAACGCTACACAGACAATAAGACAAAACGCGGAGAAACGATTTGACGTAGCCGCTAGACATGACAATCCCCTCCTCAGGCAAGCCGTTGACTACGTACCCGACGTGACCGACAAACACAAAAGACCTAGACACCAACTTTTTGACCCTGGGTGACCACCCCAATGCCCCCCCCCCTGCCCGCTAACCTTTTCTGTTTCAGAGACAGCCAGGATCAAGAAACGAAGACAACGACACACACACACACATACACACCCCCCATACCCTCCTTAACCCTCCCCTCCCGCGCTAGCCTAAGGGCCACCTTAGTAAAGCGCATCCCAGGCTGCATAGCCGCACTACCCTACCCAACCATACCACACATAAACATGACACTACCCCCGGGGTTTACACAGACGAGCCGGCGAAGCAAGAAGAGCGCCAGAAGAAAGGGCCCTAGCCGGCGGGGCCCAGCCAGGACAAAAGGAGGTCCCACAAAGCGCCTACACCGGCCGCATTTGCGGTCGGGGTAGACGACGGATGGGGCCCACCTACGAAGGCTGTCCAGGCCTACACGAGATGAGGCAGGATAAAGAGGGATAATCCCCCTCGATCCCAAATCATTGAGGCCAATTTCTAGCCATAGAATAATGGCGCGAATTATTTTATTAAGGCCGGGACACAATGGAAAAATATAAAATATAAATATAAAATATTAAATATTAAATATAAAATAGAAAATTCGATAAATTTGCTTTCATATAGTGACACACAATGGGAAAATAAGATAACAAATAAGAAATATTTTTGGACACGTCGGAATTTAATATTTATATCTTATATTTGACCAATCAAATTAAGGTACTATTTCCATACCGCCTCTCCAACTAACTTATAAATAAAGTATTTTTGTTTTGTTGTCGAGTTTAATGTCTGTAAAATGGTAATCAGAAAGAAACAATTATTAATGTCTTGCTTTCCACATTATTTCAATTATGTCTGACAAAGCTGTGCCGAAGAATACTACTCATTGGTCAAATAGTTATAATCTATCATCAAATTATTTTATCATTGTGTCGAACATTTATATTTAATATGTTATATATTACATCTTATATTATAACTTATATTTAATATTTTCCATTGTGTCCCTGCCTTTATATTGGTTTGGGGTTAGCATCGATCTTCTAGTATCGATGGGGGGGTTAGGGTATAATCGTTCTCTCTCGCGCAGGCACGTGATTGGCTAATATAACCATTCTATACCACATTTTGCTTAAAATTATTGAAAGGCCCTCTGATTAAAGATTTTCTGCCAAAGCTATACCAACAAAAACTTTTCGCAAATAAATGTTACTAATTTTCTTGTGATAATTTAGGGAAATTTTATTTGTTTATGTTGTCAAATTTAGTCATATAAAAAACTATATTAACTAATTTACACGTTACCTTGAAATTATAACATTTATAAAATTAATTTTGTGGTATTAAAAAATATATTTAAAATTTCTGTGAATTAAAATTTGTAAAAAGCTTTTGATCAATGAATAAAAATGCATAAAATTTGCTGTTGCGCATGCTTTGAAACGTGTTTAATACGCATATCCTGTTTGTGTTTTGTTCCATCATCGTCATTACCAACGCGACGCCAAGTTATTGATTCATTTCCGTCTTGAATTGATAGAGCAAAGACGTTTTCCGTATTCGTGTTAAATTTAGTAAAATATATATTCATAAATTTGCGTAATTTTGTATAAATCAACAAATTTTCTGCGTAGATTGTATATTTAGTAAAGAAAACGTTAAATTTTAAAGCAATGATGTAAAATACGTTTTTGTTGCTCCGCTGTACGTAATGGAGGTCTAGGCGTAGTCTCGCCAGATGGTATAATATTGGTTGCTTTTTAATACAATGACTGTGGAATGTTATATTCCTATTTAAAGACTTTTATCAAATAATAGTGACAATATATATTCTGTGCTACAAAATAGTAGGATTTTGAAATGGTAAGGTGCCACTTAGATATATTCTGTAATTTAATAAAGCATTTTCTATAACGATGTTGTTTTCATAGATTTATTAATAATATGTACTGAAATGCATAGGAATTGTTAAAGTTAATCCGAATATGATAGCTTTGTAAAAAATTGAAAAGTACGCATTTCCTAATATGTAAATTTTCTGACGGCCATTTTGGCTATGCTGACGTCATTCACATTCCACAGCTATTTTTAGCGGGTGATTTAATTTATCTGTTTATCTTTTATAGCCGCGGATAGATCCTTTGCAATTATTAAAGTGCCTCTCGGTACTTTTAACTCCAGAAGGGGGCATATTGTCCAGAGAGGAGGTGCCACGCCTCGTAAAGTAAGCCATTCCTAAATTTTCCAATAAATTTGACATCCATTGATTTATATTGAGTGACCTCATTTCCTATTTTCATTGCAGTTTAATGACCAAATTTTCTAAGAAATTAGTTAGCAAATGCGTGTACGTGTTAATACTGAAAAGTACCGACACTGAATTAGTTGACATGTTCATGGGTGAGGGGGGCTGGACCCTGATCCAGACCTGGCTGCAGGATGCTGTACAGACAGGCAACTGGGACCTCGTCAGGGAGATATTGGGTCTGCTTTTGATAACGCCCGTAGATGTGGAACGTTTGAAGCTGAACATCCTCCCGAAACTGATCAAAAGCCTGTCGAGGAGGGAGGAACTCGAAGGTAAGTGCTCACAAATTTTAACTAATGCATGTTTATACTGAATAAATGAATATACTAGAGTTTGAAGCTGGAACACGTTTTAATTTCAAATTTTGTTAAGACATTCTGCACGGTTATGTACATATTTTGTTTCTATGCAAAATAACTGCAAAAACATTGATATATTTTTTTTTAAATGGGAAATAATTTGTTTTAATGTAAATTAAGTTTGTTTAGTGTTTAAACTTGGGGAAAAATAGTAAATGGTGACATTTTTATAAAATTCAAGTCACTCTTATTGATGACAGTGGATTTTATAAGAGAGCTGCCATCTGGTATTTTTATTCCCAAGTTTGATTGGTTATGTAAAATAAGGTTATATTAGAACTATTGAGGTTATGTTCATCTATAGTCATTAATTTTATAGAGTATGTTGGTGAAAAATTATTAAATTAATTTTTTTTTATTTGAAAACTAAACAAATCTATTTTCGTAAATAACACATAAAAGAAATGATTTTGTTTTTGTAAAAAACGGTAGAGGTGTGTTACTGACGATATTAAATATTTCACTAGCTTAAGATTACGTTTAGAAAATAAGGAAGTAATTTTGTTATTTTTTTAAATCTAAATGAACAAATATATATATATTTTTGCCCGGTAATGATCGTTTTATAAAAGTTGCAATTTGAAATTTCCAGTTTTTGACGTTTTTTAAATATTCCTCCCTAGTATATTTATTTATTTTTTGTAACAAAAAAAAACCTTGGTGGAGTACGAGACTTGCAACTGCCGCCTCCATTGCAGGTGTCGCCAAGTTGTCCACACAGCTGGTGCAACAGTGGCTGGCCATCGTGAAGGGGTCCAGCTCTGCTGCCATGCAGCAGCAGCAGACGCAGCCCGTCCAACCGCCTCAAGCGAAGGCGGTTACCTCCGAGCCGGAACCAGCTGAAGTTAACCAACAGTCTACGGAAGATAAGGAGAACGTCGTGGAAAAGCCTTCCGAAAACAGTAATGCCGAGACTATTAGCACAGGTACCTTCTACAAACCCTCTGTTAGAGATGGTAAATTAGTTATACGTAAATTGCCAGCAGCCGATGACGGTCCGGAGGAGGGAGTTGCCGGAGAAGTGACCGAAGACGCTAAGGTGGAAGAGGGAGAGAAGTCTAAAGAGGAAGAGAAGAAAGGGGATGAGAAGGAAGTGAAATCGCGAAGCTCGAAGAGCAGTTCTAAATCGGGCAAGGAGAGAGATAGAGAGAAAGACAGGAAGAAGTCCAGCAGTAGTTCATCGAAGAGCGGCAGTTCAAGCAAAAGCAAAAGTAGTTCGAGCAGCAGGGACAAAGACAGGAAGGACCGCGATAAGGACAAGGACAGACGCAGGAGTTCGTCGAGCAAAAGCGAAAAGAGTTCCAGCAAGAGCAGTGGCAAAGAAAGGAGGGACTCGAAAGAGAAGGATAAGGATAAAGATAAAGAGAAACATCCGGAGAAAGAGAAGGAGAAGCAAGAAGAGAAAGATAAGGACACGTTGGCCAAGATCAAGCCACAGTCCATAGAAAAACTGGGCAGGATCCCCAAGAAGCCGAACGGCCCGACACCGGAAGAGAAAGAAATTAAAGAGAGCAAGGAAATAAAGAAGAAATCGTTCAGCGTCGGCATCAGGAAAGACAGCGAGGAGCGCCCGAAGACCGTCAAAGTGTTCAATTCGAAGATGCGTTCCACTGGACTGGAGGAAGAAATCAAACCCGCGCCTCCCAGGCCCGTGAAGAAGCCTACCCCTACGGTGCAGCTGCCGACCATTCCCCCAAAGAGGCCTTCGCCGCCCAGGGAACACCGTGACCCGGTCTTGCCGCCGGAGAAGAAACTGAAGATCGACAAGGTGGACGTCCCGGAGCGACCCGGGGCCATCAAATTGATACCACCCAAGCCTAAACGTAAGTTGTTGGATTATCTACTAATCATGATTGTTTTGTTTTTCAGGTGTGTTCGACGGCAAGCGGGGAGAAAGTTATCAGCCACCCGTTCTTGGCAGGGGACTGTTTTTCTTCTTTGCTGCCCGTCTGTAAATGGCGGGGTCCAACGGTTTCACCTCTTTCTGCGTACTAGTACCAATTTTTTTTTTTTTTTTTAATTAACTTGTTACTTTCTCATTACAGTTTTGCGCATGTTTAAAAATACGCGCCCGCCTGTCGCCGAGGTTGCCCGGCAGTCACTGTTGCGGCGGGGCGGGTATTTTTCAGCATACCCGCATTGTCTAGTTTTAAAACACCCAAGTTTTATGTACCTTGTGCATTGTAAAGGCATAGTAGACAGTAGGCAAGTGAACAGTGAATCGAGGACGCGCGGTCGAGCCCTCAAGAGGCCCGCACCACCCCCCCCGCCCGGAGAGTGCAACCGTGTGTCTATGTTACGTTTGTAAAGATTTATTTTTTTAATACTTTTAGTAAGTTTGCGATAGGTCCCCGTATGGTAAGTTATCCATGTAACTTTGACTGTACTCTTTCTTATTAAAAGTTGAATAAAAAACGTTTTGAATAACAACAAGGTATATGGGACAGGTCCTCTCCTTCCGTAATTACGATTTAAAAGGGAAAAAGCCAAGAAAACGAGATAAAAATAGGCGAAACTGCACCATATGGCTATAAATGGATGTGGGTCGTTTGAACTACTCTACATTAAAAGGAAGATAAGGCCGATACCTCTTCAAGGTTCTGCCGCTTTGGCTTGTGGCATGGGGATTTATCCAGTTAGGATCAGAAATGCACTCCAGAATAACAGATACAGGGTGTTTCCAGAAATAAGTACCAAAAATTTAACCACCCAACTCGTTAAAAGCGACAACTTTTGTCTAATAAATTTTTTTGAATACTCCCTAAAATGACGCTGCTGAACTATAAATGAGTTAAAGAAATGTTTTATGCAATGATTCAAATTTTATTTTTTTTTATCATTATCAATTTGCCAATAATTTCGACTTATGATCCAATGTTGGGTAACAAAAATTTATAATTTAAAGAAAACGTTTTTCAAAAAAATAAAAACTTAAAATTTTGGTACTTATTTATGGGACACCCCGTATATCGAACATAAGTGGACAATACAAGTGATATGAAATCAAAAGATAGTGCAGCACAACATACTAGATGGAAACGAATAAATTATAGGGGGCTGTGCAAACAAGAAAAATGCTAGGTTAGGGCAATTTTTAATTTGACGCATCAAAATACAAGAAATTGGCTTATTTTCAGTATAGCCGTTTGAAATGTTAGACCTGTCTTTAAATGAGAACGTTTCGAAAATCCGTCTTAAAAATTACATTTTCTCAAAAAAAAAAAGAATGTAAAATAAAATAAGTACTAGGTACAATTTTTTTAGAAGGGCAACCGCAGGGGACAAACTACGTTTACACACGTGTCTCAAAGTTGCACCACGTTGCGTAATTGCAAAATTTGTATGTGTAAGGGTTAGAGGCGAGGAGACCGAATACAAATTTCGCGCGGTATCCGGCGGACCAATAGGGACGAGTCATTTCCGTTTCGACCAATCGTGGGACAAAGTGACGATGAGCTACTGTTCTTCTTTTTAAATTGATGTGTTGCGTTGTTTGTATAGGGGACTGACGCGTCATCGTGTAATTCCCAGTATGACTCGATTCGTAGATGTATTTTTAATGGGGTATCGATTAATTGGAAATGTGCGTTATGTTCGCGATGATTTAAAAACATTGGAAATGTAGATAATAAATTAATGGTAGTTTTTTGAAAATTCTTTATTTAATTTGCAGAAAATCTTTGAATAAATTTTGCAAACGATAAGTTAGGTAATAGTCCGTTATTGTTAGATAAAAAGTCAGCACCTACTTGATATTTTATTTAGGATTAATCAATAATTGAGTAAACGTGATTTGAATATGATTATGATGAACATGAACCAAATTAAACAATCTCATCGCATGTTTTAGAAGTGCTACAAAAAATCTGCTAATTTTAATACAGGATGAATTAGAAATTAATTAAAAAAATATTGCTTTTCATTTTTGAAATAATTTGGATGCCCTGTATATTTATACAGACTGATTTAATACAAATAATCCATAAGTTGGTAATTTGTTTTTAATACACCTAATTTAAAGACATATACAGTGAGTTGCGCGGAATGTCCCACACTATTCTAGTGTATTCTACACATAAATTTAATAAAACACACGTTATCCGACTTTTATTTGTTTTCAAGTAAACGTCAACAAATTTCCTCACATTGTAGTTTTCACGTTATAAATAATGCTATTCTCGTTTGTTTTACAGTAACTGCATCTCAAATTAATAAAACGATAACAAATATCGTTCAATTTGGAAATAAATAAAAATCGGATAACAATTTGAGATTTTTAGAATTATTTTTATGCATAAAATTCACTCCTAGAGTTTGTGACGTTCCTATCGACACGCCCTGTATAAAATAAATTTGGGTCAATGATTATGTTTAAAGAAATATTAATAAAACTTCGATAATTATGCCATAAAAGAGGCATATTTTTTTTTGGAGATCACGTAAAACAATCAAAATAGACGCTCAAAAATTAAAACATTAGAATCTAATGAAATTTATTGACCCTAAGCCCGAGGTTGTAACTCATGTTTTATTTCAAGAAGGATGGTAAATTTTTTACTGATGAAAATGGTTAAAAAAAAATGATAATTACGCTCTCTAATTTTGTTAATTTAATATAAAAACAATCTAACTAAAATTTGCGATATATATTACTCCGTACACATTTCACATTTATTTTTTTGTGGAAAACAACCATAAAATGAATATTTAGCGCACCCTGTAACATTGTCTTAATAATTTGCTTTAATTATGAACAAATTGAAATATATCGTTGAGAAATGTGTACGAGTATAGAAAGTTACACGCACTGAAATTTTTTTAAAATGATATTTAAAAATAATTGTTAAATAGCCAAAAAAAACACGGTTTAAAGTTTTTGTCTTACAAGTACCCTGTATGTTCGAAGTTTTCAAAAATATAAATTTTTTCCGTTTTGTTTTACGTAAGAGCTATCAGAGAGACAATGTTTTGTCAACTAAGGAATCACTACAAAATACAGGGATAGTTAAATTGCGGTTTTAGACTTCCTTTTGTGTTACATTAAATTATAATTTAGAAAGTCATTCCACGACACATTTTAAAGTCCGCAAATCGTTCTTACGCAATTATTTTCGCAACGTTTTGATGTATACAGGGTGATAACAAAAAATATTACTATTTTTTTTACACTTTTCGAGCATATTTCGTTCGTGTCACATTTCTTGTTTTACGTTCATGATTTTATAACGTTCAGTTATAATTTTTTATTTTAATTGTCGCTTTCGTCTTATCATATAATTCCCAGCATTATAATTGCCTAGCCTTAACGGTTATTTACGGATTAATAGGATGCTTATTGTTTTTTAAATCTTTATGGCATTTTTAAATAGAAAGCATTTAATCAATACTACGGTTCGGATTGTTGTATAAGTTTATGATAAATTTAATTGCATTTTTGTCGTATTTATTTTTAAACTTAAAATTTTCAAATTGAAAAAAATCAAAACTATATTGATATTTAAATATCAAAAATAAAGGGGCGTTATCCCCGTCCAAAATTAAAAATTTTATTTCTACACATCTGTCCTCGACGTAGTTGTTATTAATATACAGGGTGTTTTAAGTTATATATTTTAAATATATTCTGAATAAATGGAAAAGGATACATTAAAATAATTTTGTGTGCACAATACACGAATGCTGAACAAATTAAATATTATAGCATCGAAAAATATAATTTTTTAAATGCACATTTTAAATTGAATATTGAAACCGCACGACCTCGATTTTTTTTTTATATAACATTTACTATTTTCATACAATTTTTAACAATTTGTGAAGAAGGCAACCTTTATATAAATTTAGAAATATATAGCATGTTTGAGAATAATGTCAACGTTTTTCTTGCCTAAAATGTTTCCTTATACAAATATTTACCTTTGAGGGTCTATTTTTTCCAGTGTTTTGATATCTGCGCCACTGATTTGAGCTAAAATTAAATTTTTTCACGTTTTATGCCTTTTTAATAACTATATTATTTACTTTTTTCAACTTCACCACCTTGCATCTCAAAAATGAACTCGGTAAGGCATCTGTGTAATAAGAAAATATTATGTATGAAAAACGGTCCTACATTTTTGGACGCGTTATTGTGCCTCACCCTGTATAAAAAGCGAATTTAAAAATGGCTTATTATTTCTATTAGAATCTTATTTCGCTCTACACAGACATTTCTTGTTAAAAAATTTTAATATAGACAATTATTCAATGTTGAAAATACCGGGTGAACCAAACAGTATAACTAGAAATTTAAATGGAATTCAAAAATAGAATGGAATTCATTCAAAATTACATTAAAAACCAAAGTTATTTTAGTTTTGGTAAATATATTTATCCTTTATCACCTCTATATAAATTGTAAAATTTTTGCCACTTAAAATTTAATTTGTCTGTTAGATACTTGATTTAGGCACTTTAGGTGGATAAAAAAATTGGCTCGCTTAGATAATTTTAACTTAAATATCATGAAAATATTTAAGTTGTGGATTGAAGTCGAAATAAGTAAAAAAATAGGTTATTGGAATATGTTGAAATTCACTGTGGCCACTTCTGATTGAAGAACTACGCCTTTGCTTCTGAAGTTAGTCTATTTAATTGGCTACCTTACTCATATCCAGTATAATGTTGCTAGCACTAATCAGAAACGAGTTATAGTGATTACCTTTTGGTTTGGATCACCCGGTATATAATTTTGAAGTATTATGTTTAAATTGCAAATTAAAAATACAGTGACGCCCATTTTAAATATTATTGAAAACATGTTTCGCTTGTAACATATTAGAAGCAAAACATTTATACACCATACACCCTGTTTGTTAATTTCCTTCACATATCGGGAAAATTGGGATTTAAATTCGTTTTTCTCGTGAAATATGCGTTTTATTAGAAAAAGAATAAGAAATGTAGATGCATTGTAATTTTTCCCTCATAATATATTACATATTTCGATTTACTGACGGCAATCTTTAATTTTGCTTTTTGGTCTAGCGATTTTATCTTTACCATATAGAAAATGTCTTAAATATTATGTTTCCGATTTGTTTAGTAGCAATGTGGTATTTTTGTATTCAAAAATATAAAAAAATATAAAATTTTGTTTGAAATTTGTAGAATCGAGATTCTCCTTCCATTTTTTAAATTCCAGACTTGCTATTTGCTTTCATCATCGCACACTTCGTATTTATCTATTTTTTTCTAACATTTCGGCGTTATTTTCTTTTCGTTGTTATTTGGAAATAAAAAAAAAATCGAAGCAGGAAAAATAGACCTTTTTGAAAAAAAAAAAAAACGCGTGGACTAAAAGGTTTTTCTATGTTAACTTATTGATAAAACAGAAATAACACTATCTATCAGTGTGTTGTGCAATATAATTAGATGAAATATTATATTAATACAGAATTTTTTTATTCTTTTCGTGCTACTGTTAAATACAAGACCAAAAGACTCCCGCAAACTGTAGAAAAGAAAAAAACGTTACCGACAACAAAAATATATGCATTTCGGACGAAAATATTGGTAAATTAATTTGCAGTCAATTTTTAAATAGGTACCTACTTAGAGATATTTATATTTTATTAATAATAGGAAACTTTTGGAATTTGATATACAATTATCTAACTAACTAAACCTAAAAATCTGAAATATTTATTTAGAAAATCACTTAAAAAATCTCAGACGTATATTAAACAGATTTTGATATTTTCCTCAGAACAATGCTGCGTTTTACAAGCTTATTCTACATTTTTTTGCGAACTCAAATTAACAATGGCACTTGGCCAAACTGTGAGGAATGCATCAATTCTTTCGGGTTCGAATTGTTGGTCTTGTCTCAATCCTTGGTTATTAATTTTCTACGACGCAAAAATATCTCGCATGAAAAAATAATCCCTTGTAAAATTGAGATATGTAGCGTCATAAAAAATATATAATAAAGCATCACGCATCCGATTATCCAACGTAAGATACATCATGTGTTATTCAAAACAGTTTTATCAAATTGCTGTTATCACAGTTTTAGAAAATTTGACCCTGATATCTACGCGTATTTTTTAAAAGATTAGGAAAACTATATTTTGAGTTGAAACTGTTGGAAAGGCCCCGCTGTTACAAAACTTTTTCAATTTTATTTTTTAATATCGAAAACTGAAAGCTACATTTTATTCTTTTTGTTACAGCGCCTGTGCTGCAAGAAAGCGACCTCTTCATGGACGCTCTAACCGCTTCAGCCACCACCAAGAAGGAGCCGAAGAAGCGCAAACGAAGAGCCAGCGTCACCAAGGAATCCCCGCCATCCCCATCATCTTCTCCAGCTAGGGAGCAACCCCAAACTCCGACATCACCTTCTCAGACCACCCCCAACAGTCCGTCCTTGGGCCTGAAGAGCATTGCACCCATCAATTTCTACCAGGACACGTTGAAAACTGAAGAGAACGCTGAAAATGCCGAAAACCCAGAGAATGAGAACAAGGAGAACGCAGTGGAGAACAACGTGGAAGTTAAAGAGAAAGCCGGAGAAGAAGATAAAGAAACGCCAGCGAGTCCTATGACTCCCACAGATGATACGAACGGTGAAGAACTCGTCGAGCCCAAAAGACCAAAGCTAGAAGGTGGTTTGAGGGGCGTCTTGTTGTATTCGAAGAAGAAAGGCCCGAAAAGGTCAATTTCTTGGAAAAACGAATCCGATCTTGTGGAGATTCGGTTCTTTGAATTGGACGAAACGGAAAGGGTGAACGTCACTAAAACCTTTGGCGATATGGCGAAGATGGAGATGACCAGCGAAAGAGAGGCGTTGCAGATGTCTAGGAAAGTCGTTGGGGAGGACACAATGGAAGCTCAGATACCTTGGAGGCTTCCCTTCCTGATAGACCAAGCGGATCCTCTCGCGGTGCCCGGTCACAAGAGCTTGGAAAAAGACATTCAATTCGCGCGTGAAAAAAGTGTGTTGCAGGCGTTGTATTTCGATAAAAGGCGAGTCCCTGATTCCCCCGAGGAACCCATTCCGGAGAACCACCAAATGAGCGACCCCATCGTTATTCCTCTGGAGGATCCCGAGACACAGGAGATCGATCTGAGGAACACACCTTGGCCGGAACCAAAAGGATCTCCTCCCCACGTTGAACCCCAAATACCGCCACATATCTTCCCCAACGTACCAGGCCCCTTCAACCACCCATTCAACAACATGCCACCTCCTCAATTCCAAGGGATGCCGCCACGGTTTCCTCCTCAAGCCGGACCCGGAAATCCAGGTCCGATGGGACCCGGGAGCTTCATGCCTCCGATGATGCCCAACGGAAACATTCTGGGGCCTCCCAACCTGGTTCCGCCCAACGAGATGATGAATCAGGGACCTATGAACCAAAACATGTTCCCTCCGGGCCCCGTGCACGACGGGTTTGGTCCAGGACCCGACTTCCCCATGTTCAACCAGAACAACATGCCCAACAACAACATGAACATGTTCCCGCCCAACAACTTCAACAACCACCGGCCGAACAACAGGGGCGGGTTCCGGCGTGGAGGGGGTAACAGCGGCAACTGGGTGCGCATGAGCGGTCCCGGGAATTGGAAGAGGGGCGGCGGCGGCCACAGGGGCGGGCGACTGTGCAAGAACGTTCAGAATCACGGGTATTGCAGGAACAGGGACAACTGCCCGTTCGTACATCCGTAGGTCGTCCGTTGGACTTTTATTCGTACGACAATCGCGACAATTTGTTTTAGAATTGTGCGGGAAATTTGTGATATTCGTTGTTAAGGATTATTCGAGTGTGGAACACTCGGATATCGATGAAGTACAAACTCGAATTAGGCAGTTAGTCTAAAAGGATGTAGTCGTCTGCCATTTAATTTATTGTTGCGATACGTTGGGTGGCAGGACCTCGATTGGATAATGGGGCGGCGTGTACAGACATAGGCTTTTTTTATTATCGGATTGTTAAGTCGTTCAAATAATATATTTAGTGGTTGTGACTCACTATAATCTAAAGTTTGTTTCCGTAACCATCAAGCGTGTTTATATGTAAATTGTATATAATGTTAGCATTTACTTTTTTACGATGTTTTTTTTTAAAGAATTACTTTATCATTTTCAATATAATTATTTAAAAAATCAGTGGGATTTTTATTTTTAAAATTCTCAGTAGTGCCCGACACTGGGTAAGTATTACACCAAGACACCTCTTTATACAAACTGGATTCTGTACATTTCACTTTCAGCGTCTATAATTGGCTTGTCTTTGACCTAGTAACCCAGAAGACAAGTTTTCATTTTGCCATACAGGGTATTGCGAGTACAGTGTACCACGATTTCACCGAGTGATCAGCTGTATCAATAAAAAAAATACGGAAATGAATGAAATGTCTTCAAAATGGAGTACTATTATAAAAAAATGTAAATATACAGGATGTTTATTAAGTACTGGTACAAACTTCAACGGGTGATTCTAAAACGAAAAGTTTATATAAATATATGCCGGGTAATGCTTCGTTTTCAAGTTACAGGGTGTCAAACTTTAAAAAAAAATCGTTTTTTCGTAAAAGTCTTCATAATCGATCCTTTAGCCGATTTTGTTGAAATTTGGCAGTGTTATTTATGGTAGAAAAGGGGCAATTTAGCCCTTCCTAGATTAAAATTATTAAATCCAGTGGCGTCCCGGGGTCACCTTAACCAACATTTTAGACAAAAAAAGTGCGCCACTGACTAAAACTTTTATAATTATTTTCGGATTAAACAACTAAAAATACAACTTTTTGAATTTTTTTCGTATCTTGCTTCCTTTTTGGAGAAAAAAATAAAAATCACTTTATTGCTTGACACTAGGACAACAATGAACAATTAAACTACCAGACTTTCAAAAACTGGGGTGTATCTGTTATTTTTTTCCATATCATAGTCTTAGAAGTAATAAAAATTAGTAGTAGCTAAAAAAAATTTCTGTGATTTATTAACAATTAAAAAATTTTTTTTTGTTGTCTATGCACATACAATAAAGTGAATTTTTTCCCCAAAAAAAGAAGCAAGGTACGAAAAAAATTCAAGTGACAAAAAAGTTATATGTATGTAGCGAAAAATTTATAAATGTTTTAAAAAAGTCAGTTTTTTCAAAAATATAGGTTAAGGTGCCTCCCGGGACGCCACTGGTCTTAACAATTTTATTCTAGATAGGGCTAAATTAGCCCCTTTCTACCATAAATAACTGCCAAATTTCAACAAAATCGGCTAAAGGATTATTAAGATTTTTGCGAAAAACCATTTCTTAAAAAAAATTGACACCCCGTACCTTAAAAACGAAGAATTACCGGACCTATGTTTTTTTTTATAAATTTTGCGTTTAGAATCACAAAGAATCACCCCTTGAAGTTTATACAAGTACTTAATAAACACCCTGTATGCTTGTCGAATTTTTAATGGCAAATTATAACGAGATCGTCTAAACATGCGTTCGAGATAGAGGATGTTTAAAATTAATACAGCATTCGGGCTGGAATTTCTAATGTACAATTTTATTTTCTAAAAATAATGTACTCTTGTTAGAACTTCCTAATGTGGACGATTTTCGAGAAAAAATGGCTTTTAATTGAACTCGTACAATATTACTTTTCTCAAAGTAGGCTTTATGTCAAAACTTATTGATGCATGTCTCATAAACAACGCATACATTCTCAGTAATATTTTAAACTCTAATTAACTACATCAAAATTTTACTGATTGTTAGTGACTGTAAGTAGTTAGTAATGATTAATTACAGTCACTAAAATTTTGATATAAAGTTAATTAGAGTTTAAAATATTACTAAGAACGTCTGCGTTGTTTATGAGACATCCATCAATAAGTTTTGACGTAAGCCTACTTTGAGAAAAGTCACTTATTTTCTACACCGTAATATTGTAAGAGTTCAATTAAAAGCCTTGTATCTCGAAAACCGCCTTTATTAGGAAGTTCTAACAAGAGTACATTATTTTTAGAAAATAAAATTGTACCTACATTAGAAATTGGAGCCCTAATGCTAAAAAACCTAACCTCAAAAAAATTGGAACTTAAAATGTAATACGAATGTAGTAGAACTAGCGACCTCCATAAAATATCCAAAAAATAATTAGACCAGCGTATTTGGCGTCCTTAAAAACCTCGGAATACTAAATTTCATAAAAATATTTCGCACCGTTTGGAAATTTTCGTAAAAATTCTATTTAAAATATTTTATTTTGTCGCTCTGAATCTCGAAAACAAGAGGAGATATACATATAGTTCATAAGACAAAAAATTCTTATGTTTTGTCGTACTATCACCCCCTGAAACACCCTGTATATGTGATAATTTCAAGTTCACAAAAAAAGGACGGTCGAGACATGTAATACTTTAGTAATAGGTAAGGTGATTACTTGCTTTATTATTACAAAAATAACTTACTTTTTATACTTTATAATAATAATTATAATAATTACGTAGATATTTTATAATTTTACCTGAAAAGGTTCATTTTGAGAAGTATTTTAAAAGTTATTAAAAAAAATTGAATTTCAGGATTGTCCTTTAGGGGCCTGTATCTTTGTAGGGGGCCCCTCTAGGGAAAATTTTTGTAGAGAGCTTGTTATTTTAACGCCCCCTGTATAGATTCGAGAGATTGCCCACATATTCTGGGACACCCTGTATAGTAAAAACCTAATTATTGTATATTCTTCTCATGTTTCTAAAAGATTTTATAGTTAAATACATAGATAAGTTTTAATCTTTGGTTCAATATTTGAATGGTTTAATAAATAACTAATATTTAATGTTCTGTTTTATTTATATTCACACGATTCTGTTTATAATGCTTTTCTTTACAAATAACTTGTAATAGATGTATCTAGCCAACCTAGTTATATTTAAAAATTTGCGCTCTTAAATTAGGACAAAATTTAAACCTCTTGAAATGATTTTAAATAAATTTTAAGCACTACTAAAAAGTGGCGTGATTGTGTCGTAGCTTTAAATTGAGTACAAATTCAGGTCCGGGGCATAACATTTTACGAATGTATCAAAAAATGGCGTTATGACTTTTTATAAGGTTATTAAATATTCTAGAGTTGTAACACTTTAGGGCAATTAAAAATAACAAATTTTTCCAAATAAAAAATAAGTTTTTTTTATTAAAGAAGTAATATAAAGACAAAAAAGTGAGGATGGTTGAAGAAAAATAAAGATATAAGTAGAGGTATAAATACAAAATTGTAATGCAAAATTTTCGTTAAAAATACGTATAGGTACTTACATAATTTAATCTAATCTAATCTAACTTAACCCGACCTAAATTAAGCTAATTCCACCTAACAAAAACCTAATCTAAGCAAAAAAATATCACACACGCAACTATACAAAAAAAAACATAACGAACAATAACCTTCATCCAGGCACAAATTAATAAAACATACACAATAAAAGAATACAATTGACATTTATGAAATATATAATGGCTGTTGCAGAAAACAACAAACATTATTTAGTTTTTAATACTATGTATACAGGTATATAAAATAAAAATGAACCCTCTTCCTGTATTCGTAAATGCGTATTTGCAAATGTTAAAGAGAAAAAATTTCATCAGACCTTCAGGCGATTGCGCTAAAGATAGTTACTTCGAAGAGCCTATTCAAATTAACAAAAAATTGAGGATTCAGTCATTTTCTTTTAAGAAATAAAATTGATGTTAGTGAGTATTCTTGTAACTTATAGCTGTTTTACATTGAAATTTATTCATGAAATTGACGAAGTTCTTCATGAATTAATTCACGAATTTATTGGTAAACAGTGTGGTTTTACACTGCTACAGATTTTGTCACGTTTTTTGACGTATGAATCAGTTCTACCAATGAATCAAAGAAGCAAATAAATTTCAAAAATGTCATATTTCCACTCATAATTGTAGTGATACAACATGCAGCGCTACCGTTCTGACACATATTATATAAATATTAGTTTTTGTAAGTAACAAATCAGTAGAAACAATGCAAAACTAGTACGACCCCACACATTTATTTACATATTTCAATAACATAACCTCATTACTGATCTGAGGCTGGAAATCTATTGGGTTGGTAATTCTGACCTTCACGAAGAAATTAACGAAAATTAGAACATGTTCTAATTTGTGAAGAACTTGATGAATAAATTCATGAAGTTATTTGATAGCAGATTTGGTGCATTACACTTGTCCAATTTCTTGATGAAGCGACTTCATGAATTAATTGATCAATAAATTATCAATGTAAAACAGCTATTACAAAATGGGCACAAAATCGTTTAGACCCGACCCTGGCCTTCGCCAATCGCAATGCGCAACAGCAGACTTGCGGATCACGCGGAAAAACGATCGTATGATGCGGATATTTCATGGAGGGGGATCTTCTACCTTCTACCACCACGGATAGGGAAAATCAGCTGTTTCTTTTGCAGCGTCAACGTTATTTTGTGCCGTGGTAGTGGAATCGCGATTCGTTTGCTGTTTGCCGCATTCGTAACGCTTCGTTTCATCGTTTCAGTGACGTGCAGTGTGTAGTGGATGGTTGTGTGGAACGTAAAAGCGCGTTTGAAAATGTGCTGAGCTGAGTTTTCCTCAAAAATGATATACCTGTACAGGTTTATTTTGTTAAGGTGACATTGTACACTATCTAGTCATGTCTTCTTGTGTCATTCGGAAGGTAAATTTTTAACACTTTAATTCAGAAAAGTGACGGGATTGTAATGTACGTCTTGCCCACGTCGATATAAAATTGCCCCGTGATACTGTACTGTGTTATTGTGTTATTTTATAGATAGGAGACGCGAATATGCAGCGGTGGTTTTTCTTAGAGGACCCCGGCAACGCTGCCATAAGGGCTGGCAAGGCAGAAACGATTTTTTCCTGTGAATCTGTCCAATCCATTCAGTTCCCTCCCAGGAAATGGCTGTTTCGCACTAGGACCCCTCCTAATCTCAGAAAGGAAGAAGTCGTTTGTGTTATAGGGGATTTAGTCGAGTTGGGTGGTTGGCATCCTGAAAAATGTATCCCTTTGCAGAGAGAAGATGATTCAGACATATGGTCAGGCGAGATAGAGTTACCGGATAAGAAAAGGGTGTTTTTCAGGTACTGTGTCTGTATGATCATCGAAGTTGGTATCCAAGTGATAGTACGAAGTTGGGAGACTAATTTGATGCCTAGGGTAATCGATCCCAACTCCAAGTCCCCCACGATGCATGATGAGCCCCACGAGTATGGCAATTACGATAATTCGTACAGAGTGGACAGTGGCTGGTTAAATAAGGAAACGATTATCCAGTTGAAGCTGTGCAAGAATCCTTTGACGATTTTCAGACCGAAATACCAAAACCGCGTGGTTAACATTAAATTAACACCCGTGACCTTAACCCGCCACAACCCTGGCTTTCCTAAGACTATGTCCGAGGCTCTGGAGGAGTCTCTGAGTGACACTCAGGATTCCGTGGAAAATCCCAGGCATGCCTTCACGGAAGTGGCCAGCTTGCTAGCCGAAGACCCGAGTTTCCAAATGCAGGGGCAGTTTGGTCATGAACTTCAAAAGGATGATGTGTTGATTTTCCATTCTACGGTCCTTTTCCCTGCGAACATCGCGTTCCTTATCGACCTTTACATATATAGTTCTCGCTGTGCCGAGGGCGAACCACCTTATCATGCGGGGTTCAGTTATTTGTTACCGACTGCTTTGCAGTCTTCGGAGGGCAGCCTAGTGCTGCCCGTTACCAGTACAAAGCACCGGCCTCTGGGGCAGATCTACATAGAATACCTCCAGATAGGGCCGATGCCCAACTTCAAGTGTGACATGAGTATTTCTTACGCGAGGCATTGGAAGAAGACCCGTTCCGGTCTGGACGTTGGCCACAGGGGCTCGGGTTCCAGTTTTAAAAATAAAGTTCAGAATTGCGCGGAAGTCAGGGAGAACACTATCGCTAGCTTGAAGAACGCTATAGAGCACGGTGCGGATTTCGTAGAGTTTGACGTGCAGCTCAGCAAGGACATGGTGCCGATCATTTACCATGATTTCCACGTGTGTATCGCCATGAAGAAGAAGAAGGACCTGCTGGACAGCGACATGTTGGAGATTCCCGTGAAGGAGCTTACTTTGAATCAGCTGAGACTGTTGAAGGTAGGGTTTGCATTTTGTGTATTTATATAAAAACTTCGTACTTTTCAATTTTTTTTATACAGGGCGTAATTAAAACGCTTGGCTAAGATTTAATAGCAGTTTTACATCGCAAATAAACAGAAAGGTTCATATAAACAGAGGTGTAGGTATAGTAAATTTTGCCCAAGTGGGAAACACTAAAATACTTTCATATTTAATTACTACTACTAGGAATAATAGAAAGAGACCAGGGGGGTGGGGATTACTAAATTATTTCTCAAACTTGTACATTAAATTACTCCTGCTACTCAAAAAAAATTTTGTGAAATTTTCGGTGGTTTTTTAGGTGGAATTAAAAACGTTTTAAGTTTTAGGATCTACATACCAGTTTCCATTCATTTCCATTTTTCAATCCTCATCATTTACTAAATTTGTCTATAAATTTTGCATAATGTATGTTTGTATTTTGTAAATGTGGGGCATTCCACGCCAAATCGACCACTTTTAACCCTGACCCCTTTCGATTTGGCTGAAACTTTTTTATTGTTTTCTACCCCATTGAAAACCTCACTGAGAATTTTTTCAAATTTTTTCACCCAACTCGGTTATGAATTTAAAAAAAAATAGTTTTTTTAAATTACCATAACTTTTTCGAAAATTGAGTTATCGGTACGTTTTTGTTTTCTACTTTTGTTTTTAAATGTACTTTTTGAAAAAAAATATATCAAAATTATTTGGACCCATCTTGTTTTTTTTTTAATTTTTGAAAAAAAATTGAAAATTTCTCGATGATTAGGTACTATTTTTGAATTTTTTTTTTCTTATAAAAAACTGACATTTTTTATAAATCCTTAATTTTTTTTTTCAAATTTAACTTATTTCATGTGACTATTTTGAAAATTTTTGAAAATGTATATAGAATCCCAAAATTGAAAAAAAATATATGAAAGAAATAATTGAAAGTGGTAAGCATGAAAAAAATTCAATTTTTTTTTTAAAAAATAGATCGTTTTGAATAATTTTTTTGTATATTTTCTTGAAAATTGCCTACATCCAAAAACAGAGAAAATGAAAAAAAGTTGTTATTTGGTCCATATTTGGACGAACAGTGGGCTTTAAAAAAAAACGTGCAACTTATTTAAACTCAAATAAATCATTTTGAAACCATCCTCTTTTGACTGAAATTGTCATCAATCGCTGCATAGAATATTTTTTTTCAATTTTCGGATTCTATATAAATTTTCAAAAATTTTCAAAATGGAATGTGAATAGGCTAAATTATTGAAAAAAAAAAATTATTTTTTCAACCAATAAAGAAAAATATAAAACGAAAAAACACCACTGAAAAAATTTGAGATTTTAGTTTAAAAAAAAAAAATCAAAAATGGTAATCATCGAGAAATTTTCGTTTTTTTAAAAAAACAGTGAAGATAGGTCCAGATAATTTTGATCTATTTTTTTTGCAAAAAGTACATTTAAAAACAAGAATTTTGAAAAAAAAACGTCCCGATAACTCAATTTTTGAAAAAGTTATGGTTATTTAAAAAAAAAGCTGTATTTTCAAATATTCAAAAATTTTTTTGAGTTGGGTGAAGTAATCTGAATACTATAAAGAAACCAATTTGTAGATAATCGAAATACGAATAAAACGAGAGGTCGACGATGCGATCGGATAATTAGAAACGAAGAAAACCCGGAAAAATCTGAAAATTTAGCGTTTTTTCAAAAATTCCGTGTGCACAAAAGTAGTGAATTATATGTACTGTAAGTGTGCGCAAAGTAGGCTCTGTCAGATCATTAGTTTTGGCTCAATTTAATTACAATTCGATTTTTTGGTGCACTATTTTGCAAAATTCTGGATGCGTTGGAGGTGGTTCGATTTTAATTTTTCAGCCGGATTTTAAAACTACAAGTATCTATAATACTGCAAAATGTATATTCTAATTTTCTGATAAAATCATGGACATTGATGGGTGATGGGTGGAAAATTCGTCCTGCATGCTACATGCTCAAAAACAGATTTTTTTTAATAATGCCTTTTTTATTGAAATTTTGAATTTGGTCAAAATAAATGGCCTAAAAATCCTCATGTACTTAGGTATATTTTTAAATGTAAGTAGGAATTAATTGTTTTTAATTTTAGTTGGCCAAAGTAATACAATATTTTTCTTAATTGATTTAGATTGATATAGGGTGAATCAAATTTGATAATCACTACAATGGTACAGGAACCATTAGAAATAATAACGAATTTACATGGACAAAGTTGTCCAAAATTTAATGCTTAGCTACAATCGACTGAAAAAATTTAAGTAGGAACTTTATTTTAAATTTTATAAAAAAAAAATTGAGTAAAAAAAGTAAATATTGCAATTTTTTAAGATTTAGCTGTAACTTAGTTTAGCAGTTAAACTGAAAAAATTCTTGGACCACTGATGTAATTTTTTTTTCACTGGTCTAGTTTCTTTTAGGTGATTTTTCGTTTAACCAACATTTTGGAAAAAATAACTTAATTATCTTGTATAGATCTTATGTTAGTTGTCCCAGTATCGAGAGTAATATTAAACAAATTACGAGATATTTGAACAAAGGACTTATCAGTTGTACTCCGAATACGTTATGGCTGATTTTTATAATAAGAGATTTGCTATTGGAATTTGCCAAAATTTTGTTACAATTTGAGAATTCCCCTATGCTTTTTTTTCAAGCTGCATTTTATAATTTGAAGCACTTTCAATAAAATTAACAATTTCAATTGCTTACAAAGATACTTATGTAATTCAGGTTTATTACATAATAATAACATAATAGATATTTGGCATTTTTGCTCCCATTCTTTTTTTTTTCTTTGTTGACTATTATGGTCGCAATTGTGACAGAAACAAAAGGTTTTACAAAAATATATTCCAGCTGCATATTTCTAGAATGCAAAGTTTTTGAGATAAATGATAGAATATTGTTCGAAGATGCTTAGGTTCCTTAAATACCTGTCACATTATTTTTAAAATAAAGACAATAATTATTCAAGTAATCAAGTTATCTATGAATGAAAAATATTATTATTTACGCGACTCCACTTTTTTGCTACTTATGAAATAAATCATGTTCTTTTTTTTTAATTTTTAATACAGTGTTATATCTTGAAAAGAACAGGTATTTGTAGTGAATATGCCAAATATTATATTCGCACATTACTTCCAACTTTTAAACACATATCTAATCTAATCTAGTCTGCATTACTTAGATAGTAACTCATAATTAAATATGTTTAAATTAATTTAAAAACTGAATAGAACAATAATTATATTTTGCAGAGGATTTAATTATTAAGGCAAGCACTAAGCAAACATCCTATCAATTCACCACAGTTCACACAGCTGTTTTGTTATACTGTCAGCATTGTCAGCATGATAGCAGTTTGTTATTTGCAATGTAATATAATTAATTGACAACTGAGATATAAAAATCATAATTATTATAATAAATATTTTACTTGCCTGAAAATAAGAATGATATATGTCTCATGTTTCCTTACCAATATGTATTTATTTTTTTTGCAGTAATAGAAGTAATAAATATGTATAGATTTCACTATAATGCAGTATATAGGTTTTTTTTTCATTTTTATGAGTGGTATAATTCTCAAGTCACTATTACTTTTTATTTTACCATTTACGTTATTGCTGATATTTTTGGATTTGAGGAAATCACTGAGGATATGCGTTTTGCTTTCTGAAACAATGTCAGATTACAGATTTTCAGTCTAGACCTAAAAATATTTCAAAACTATAAAAATTTTGGATTTTAAAAAAATGCCGTGTGTTGAGTGAAAAATGGGCTCTCTCTCTCTCAACGCAAGGTGCGAATGTTTTGTGTCCCGAGTCCAAGGAACATAAATTAAAAATAGCCGTTACGTACTTAAAAAAAAATGTAATGCGCATAAAGAAGCAAACACGTGTAGTATAATTTCTGCATTGTTTTTCTCTTTAAAGACTACCTCTAATTCTTTTTTTACATTAAAAAGACCAGAGAAAGATCTACGTTACATTTCGGATAAGACAAAGGAGTGTTGCAACCTTGAAATTTGATCTAGCGGAAACACCTATAGGCAAGGAAATACCGTTCCGTGGGAGGTTGGCGACTTTCTGCGTTTACATTAATTACATTGCACTATTGCACTGTAGCTATTTCCAGGCATTACCCAAGGAATTACATGTTATTTATGGGCAGTTTTATTGAGTTAACCGCACACGTGTAAATTTACTGCCAAATGATTTATTGTCAATATCAGTAATACGTATATGCAAAATTGAACGTATGCGTAGAAAACTATCCATAATATTGACAATAACATTTCGTTTTGACCATGTTTTTGATTTTTGGCGATAAGATCTAACATGTGCGGTTAGTTCTAGTAGACAGTGACGTTGTGCGTTTTTGGAGGACTATTGAACTGGTTCAACGCTCAACGCTGCATCCCGTTTATAAAATAAACAAATAATTGACGTAACAGCACGTCGCGCGGGGTATTTCGATTATTTATCGATCAAATTAATTAGCTGAGAACATGACAAGGTGTGGGAAAGTTAAAAGTGGGCAGGTCTGGATTGGTGAGATTCTAGCCAATCCAGACCTGTCCACTCTTTGTTTTATTCCTGTTTTTTTCTGTGTGGGGCACGTATTTAGAAATAGATAAATGGACAATCTTAAATAAAAAAACACCGGTAATATCGTAAATTCAAATAATTCTATTTTTCCTTTGCTCTGACATTTAAAAACAGCCCAATATCATAACCTGTAACCACGAAAACAGCAGAAAAATCCAACCAGTTGGCGACAGATTTGAGGTTAACAAATCCCTGTTTTCCCTCTGTCAGTTTGTTGTCATTTCAAATTTCAGTGTAAAACATGAAATGAAACAATTCGTCCAATCAAATTAGATTTTTACTTGTCAAAAATTAGTTCAGTAAACAGAGACTTAAAAATTAGGAAAAATTCCGTAAAATTGAATAAACTGCTTTACCCCAGCTGAATATTAGGGGTTCGTTTTCAAAATAGCGCCCAAAGTTCGCAAAAAAGCAGTTTTTCATTAAAAAAAACATTTTAGAAAATAATGTTTTAGACAAAAGTTGTAGAACTTTTTATAACAACAATTTTGAGCCTAGCACAATGTCAATTGATAAACAAATGTATTAGTTGTTGTAAAAAACGGCTAAATATCGAATTTTCTTAAAATATCTGTGTCTTTAAAACGAAAAAAGATTTTTTTACGAAACTTTCAGAATAATGTATTCCTGAAAAAATTTCGGCTTTCAAATGGCAATAATGCCATTCCGATTAAATTTTAACAATAACAAAAAAAATCTACATTTTTCGACCCGAAAAAAGAAGTCAAAGTTTCGGTAGATTTTTGACATATTTCCAATTATATTGCAACACGCGCACGATTTGCACAGGAAAGTACAACTCTTATTGTTAGAGAAAACTTTAAGCTCAAGATTGGTCACGTAAGTGTATTACTGTATAATTTATTGAAACTTGAAAAAAATGGTTTTTTTTCGAAAAACTCAATTTTTGCAAAAACTAACAAATATTTTGCAATTTTACAAAATTGCACTTATTCTACTTGCCAAGGACTAGACTACATATTCTGAAAGTTTCGTAAAAAAAATCTTATTTCCATTTTAAAAATATAGAAATTTAAAAAAATGCGAATTTTAGTCCTTTTTTTTGCAATAACTAATACATACACCTCTTAACTATAAACTCAAAACACTCAATTTTTGAAAAACTGAAATATTTGGCAATTTTACAAAAATGTGCTTATTTTACTTGCCAAGGAGTACATATTCTGAGTTTTGTAAAAAGATCTTTGTTCGTTTTAAAGATAATAGTTTAAAAAATGCGATTTTTAGCAGTTATTTTTTGCAATAACTAATACATTTGTTTATCAATTGCCACCGTGTTGGACTCGAAATTTTGGTTATAAAAAGTTCTACTTTTGTCTAAAATATTTTTTTCTAAATGAAAAAAACTTTTTTTGTGAAGCTTGCACGCCATTTTGTTTATTTATTTATTCAATTATTTTCCTTTTATACTTTGTTTTATATTTGTCGGTAACAAATTAAATATTCTAGGTCCTATTTTGAAAATTAAACCCTAACATTTAGCTGGGGTAAAGTAGTTCATTCAAAATTCTACGGAATTTTTTCAAATTTTTCCGTGTCTTTGTTTACTGAACACTAAATTTTGTAAAAAAAAACGAGGTTTTCGACAATTTGACTGGCCTAAATAGACATCCATTCTTGCAGGGCAAAATCCACGACCGTTAGCAAATACCTAGTTCACAACCGTGTATAAGTAATAAAAACAGTTTGCAAACTATTACAAATTTACTGCAGATAGGTATCTGTTATGCTATGTTATGTATGTATACGTTGTGTTCCCATAATTTGTGTTATTCGATAGAGTGGACTGTATAAACTCTTGTGCTGATTTGAATAATTTTCTTTATTTCCTGAATGTTGTACAACTACACAAATAGATTAATAGAATTTAGAAAAACATATCATCATTTTTTATTTGATTTTTTAACAACTCTTTTTGTTCTCGTGTTGCTCTGCAACCGTCTCTATACAAACTTAGATCATATAAAATGTATTAACATACAAAATACTTTACCAATTTGGTTTGTGAAAACTTAATTGTTTATAAAAATCCACTACAGTTTCTGTTACAAAGTTCTATTTGTTCTATATTATTTACGAGCAATTATAAAAAATCTTTACATTGTGCGGTACTTTGACCTGTGAGTTTCTAGGAAATCGACGTCAATTCATTTAATTGTAGGGGATACGAAGCTTATCGTAAAGAAAGATAGGAAAGCAGTTTAAACTAGTACAAGACTCTTTTATGTCTGTATTAACATCGATTTTTTTTTAAATCGGCATGGCCAATTTGACATAACGATAACATCTATTTCTTTATTTTACGTGTTGGCAAAAAAACAAACAATGTTTAACAGTTGCCAACGATAATAAGCGTTGGTGTTGGTGGGACATTCGAAAGCCTATCCGTGTTTATTATTAGTTTGTTAGACATAATAAATAAATAAGTACATAACTGCTAATTTGAATGCTTATCTACATGCAAATATTGAATAACAAACAGTATTGCTGTGGATAATTTAATTGTACATGATAAGTGGGTTGTAAATGTTGTCTTACTGTATTATTTGTTAGATAAGTAGGTATTAACTTTTTCTTTATAACACAAAGCTTCCTAGCGTTCAAATATATTTAGGATTATGTAGGTATCAGTTGTTTCTCGTATTATAGACAATTTTAATTTTTTTTAAAGTATTTTTGCAGAAGTTTTCCAATTCAGCTATACTTTGCAAATATGTATTTCATACTGAAACAATACAATCAGGGAGGTCAAGGCTATTTTGTTGAACAGTGAAATATTGATTCTCTTCCTCTATTCAATTATTGAATCTACACAGCTACAATAGGTATAACTATGAACTATTTTTTTTCTTAAACCGTGATTTACATTGTCAAATTTTGAACTGAAATTGTTACAGTTGTTAGGTCTAGTTTAATGCTACCTACCAACTTTTAATACAAATGTCAGTGATGATAACAGCAAATCACAGATTAGAATAGATTTAAATAACTCATGCCAAAGGTACGAACTGTTGTAATACACACGTGTGCCTAACCTGTTCTTTAAATAAATAAGTATTTCAAATAAAAAAACGAGTAAATATTATCTCCTTATAATTTACCTGATATCTCAGCTGTTGTAAATGAGGTGAAATAACTGAGATTTGAGATAAATAAAACTAGCCTATTGCAGAATACCTATAACTAATATTGTCATTGTTGAATAAATAAATATCATCACTAGGCCCTAAAAAATCGAGGGATATCGCGACCGGGTCTTGTACATACAACGGGCATCCGATTCTTAAAGTACATCCACGGACATCCATAGAATGGGCGAATATATAATTTTTACTTTTTTTTAATAAGCTTAGTAGTTACAGAAATATCTTGAAAAGGGTAGTTTCCTTTAACAGCAAAGAAAATGAAACATTTATTTCTTAAAAATATGTAGCTATTAGGTATTTAAATAGGTATTTTTGGCAAAGGAATTAGTTGATTTAAATTGGTAATTTGCTTTTTATTGCAATTTGAAATTTTATTTTACGTTTATGACGTCACTAATCGAAAAATTAGGGAACCCACTAAGTATACGTTGGCACTCTGATAGGATGGCATAAGTTGTTAGCGATTTCTGCATTATCGATAAGTCCAATTAAGACCTTGACGTTTGCCCACAAATTTTGACGTATATTGGCTGTCAGGATCTAGGGGGCATTGCGATCAACGCTCTCTGACAAATTACGCATTTTTCATGGAAGTCTATTATATTTATTAGTTTTGTTACTCTATTAAAATAGTTTAAGGGAATAAATTGCCTTTTTTGGGCACGCAGTCTTAAAGCTGTTTTACATTGACAATTTATTGATGAATAAATTGACGAAGTTCTTCATGAATTAATTCACGAGTTTATTGGTAAACAGTGTGGTTTTATACTGCTACAGACTTGTCAAGTTTTTTGACGCATGAATCAGTTCTACCAACGAATCGAAGAAGCAAATAAATTTCAAAAATGTCACCTTTCCACTAATAATTGTAGTGATACAACAGCGGTACCGTTTTGACACATATTATTATAAATATTAGTGTTTGTAAGTTACAAATCAGTAAACAACGCAAAACTAGTACGACGCCACAATTATTTACATATTTCAAAAACATAACCTCATTACTGATCTGAGGCTGGAAATCTGTTGGGTTGGTATTTCTGAACTTCACGATGAAATTGACGAAAATTAGAACATGTTCTAATTCGTCAAGAACTTGATGAATAAATTCATGAAGTTATTTGACAGCAGATTTGGTGGATTACACTTGTCCAATTTCTAGATGAAGCGACTTCATGAATTAATTGATCAATAAATTGTCAATGTAAAACAGCTATTAGATCTGAAGGCGTTGACCGCACAGGGCAATATGGACAATATCCTTACCATCGTTGCCAGATTGGACGATTTGTCACAAATTAGATGATTTTTTGTTTGCAAAACATTCTTATAAAAATCAACTGCACAAAATATATACCAGTTAAAACTATTTTATTGCAAGATTTTGATAACTGTAAACTTAATGTTTGGTGGGTTAGACAGTATTTGTCAAAATATTTTTTCTAATTTATAAATCAGTAATTATTACTAATTTAATATATTCCAAAAATTAATAGATTTGAAATTTTCACTTTATAACGATCACAGCGCATATTTTATTTTTTTAAAGACGTCAAAATGAAAAAAAGTAAAAAATGTCTCATATTTTTTAACATGTTTTCATTTTGTGATGTTATAAAGATCTATCCCATAACTTACAAATTAGTTATTCCAAAGATTTTCATTCTAAAAGTGTTACAAACTGACCGGAAGCCATTCTCAAACAATTAAAATATTTTAGTTGCCCTTTTTTTTTAGTAATTTTTTAAAATTTTATTCAAATCTATAAAAATTTCTCTTTCTACCTTTGAAGTCTTATGCTCAATTACTTCTGCAATTTAGAAAACAGGAAATTCAAATATTTCATTTAACTTTTATCCATACATACACTTTTTGTCATTCTCAAGTTTACTCAATCTTTACATTAAGTATGTATATTAAAAAATGATTTGAAAACAATTTTTTTCTGAATTTAAATATTTTTTCATTTTGCAATTCAAATTAAAATTTCAAAAACCCGTCCGAGAGACAGACATGATTTTTTTTCCAGTAGAAAACTTATTTTTAATCTGTTTCAAGGTGTACCACCTGTCCGAGGGTAAAACTAAGAACCCCCGGTTCTTCGACGAAGACCTCGACGACCACCAGCCCTTCCCCACGCTGCAGCAGCTCCTGGAGACCCTGGACCCCCACACCGGTTTCAACATCGAGATTAAGTGGACCATGCGATTGGAGGACGGCACCTACGAACTGTACAACCCGACCGATCTCAACGTGTACCTGGACACCATCCTGGAGGTGGTCCTGCGGTACGGCGGGGAAAGGAGGATCATCTTCTCCGGCTTCAACCCCGACATCTGCCAGGTGATACGGCTGAAGCAGAACAAGTACCCCGTCATGTTCCTGACGGTGGGGGAGAGCAAGATCTACGATAAGTACAGCGACCCGAGGTGTTGGTCCATTAAGTCTGCCGCTCAGTATGCTGTGATGATAGAGATGTTAGGGATTAACGTGCACACCGAGGACCTGCTGAGGGAGCCTTCTCTAGTAAGGAATTTTATATTTTTAGTTTTGCCATTTTTTATATTTTTTTAAATTTTTGTGAGGAAATGTCGTTTATAAAATTTCCTGTTTAGATCCTTGAAAATGTTACTCTTTTTCTTGATTTTATACAGGGTGTGTCAGAAAAGAAGTTAAAATGGGGCTAGTGTGACATGTTTGAGGGGTATATCATCCTCAGAAACGGGGATGGGGGAAAACTAGTTGGTGAAACAGATCAGAGACGCTTGTAACCCCTTTTGGGGTTGGTTCTTCCCAATAGCCAAGAACCAACCCCAAAAAGGGTTGCACATGTCTCTGATCTGTTCCACCTACCAGTTCTCCTCCATCCCTGTTTCCGAGGATGATATACCCCTCAAACATGTCACCTACCTCGATCTTGTCCAGAGTTGATCGAGGTAGCCCTTTTTGGGGTTGGTTCTAGGCCATTGGGAGTGGGGGGGGGGGGTATTGGTGGGCAGTTTTTGATCAGTTTGGGGCAGTTTGGATTTCATAATTGTATAAAATAAAAAGTTTGAGAACTGCTGTCTTGTGGAGTTAATGCTTCGTGGAATTCGAAATCTGTTTTAATATCCATCAGAAACAGTACTTCAACCAACAGTTTTAGAATCTCTGGTTTTGTAAAACAAAAAGTTTGAAAACTGCTGATTTATAAACGTTTTTGAATAAATTTGAATATTTTCAAATTTGGGGTGGCATCTGCAGCAATAATTTACTGCTTGTACATGTTTTAAATAATGAACTTCTGGGTTTCAGAAGCGGGATTTAATTTCTGTTCCCTTTTTTTGATGTGCAGATGGTGTGAAAATATATTCACGGGCTTTATCTCGCTTGAAAATGGGTGATGAAGTAGATGTGACCGGTGGAACAGGTCATATTTGTATTTAACGCCGCTTTGGGGCAGTTTTTGATCAGTTTGGGGCAGTTTGGATTTTATAATTGTATAAAATAAAAAGTTTAAGAACTGCCGTCTTGTGGAGTTCATGCTTCATGGCATTCAAAATCTGTTTTAATATCCATCAGAAACAGTACTTCAACCATCAGTTTTAGGAATCTCTGGTTTTGTGAAACAAAAAGTTTGAAAACTTGATTTATAAACGTTTTTGAATAAATTTGAACATTTTCAGAATTTCTGGGTTTCAGAAGCGGTATTTAATTTCTGTTCCCTTTTTTTGATGTGCAGACGGTGTGAACATATATTCAAGGGCTTTATCTCGCTTGAAAATGGGTGATGAAGTAGATGTGGCCGGTGGAATAGGTCATATATGTGTTTAACCCCTCTTCGGGGCAGTTTTTGATCAGTTTGTGGCAGTTTGGATTTCATAATTGTATAAAATAAAAAGTTTGAAAACTGCTGTTTTGCGGAGTTCATGCTTCATGGCATTCGAAATCTGTTTTAATATCCATCAGAAACAGTACTTCAACCAACAGTTTTAGAATATCTGGTTTTGTAAAACAAAAAGTTTGAAAACTGCTGATTTATAAAAGTTTTCGAATAAATTTGAACATTTTCAGTACTTCTAGGTTTCAGAAGCGGGATTTACTTTCTGTTCCCTTTTTTTGATGTGCGGATGGTGTGAAAATATATTCAAGGGCTTTATCTCCCTTGAAAATGGGTGATGAAGTAGAACTGGCCGGTGAAGTAGATCATATATGCGTTTGACCCCTCTTCGAGGAATTTTTTGACCGGTTTGTGGCGGGCTTAAGGGTGTGGGTGGCGTGATAATATGTTCATGGGCTTTTCCTTCCTTGCAAATGGGTGACATCTCTATCCGCATTGCGTTTTTATTCTATCTATACACGAGTCTCAAATGATAAAAAAAAATTGGTAAAAGTGGCCAAACACAGACAAACGAACCATCTGCTGGGGTTTTTATGATCAAAGCTTTATTCCAGACACCAAATATTTTTAATTTTGACCGAGACGACTTTTTAATGTAATTAGTGATTATTTTGATCTCAGGAGTCTGTGGTTATCAGACTAGATTTATTTTCTTTGATACCCTGTATAGATTTTTTTCCAAATTGAAAATTCTGTATATAAATTAAGAAAATCTTAATTTGAGAATAGCAGTTTTTTTGGAAAATGGCGATTTACAGATAAAAAACTTTTCTGTCGTCAGGACATATTTCTGGGACATGCTGTATATTGGTATTTGCTGTGTTTTCGATAATTCTGCATCAATGTTTTCAGCATTTTTTTTTACTAATGCTTAATTTCTCTGCTCACTTTCGCTTAACTATCGATTTCGAACGAGGAAGTCTCGATTTCTTTTATCAAATTATCGCAATCTGGTTATTCAAATCGCTTCATTACGTGAGTTGAAAATGTCCGGTGTAAACCAGTATTCCTGCCCATATGTTTAAAATAAAGTCGAGACCTTGGCATGTGGCATACATAAAGGTGATGTTGACCTTTAGCGTTGTTTTGCACATGAGCGTAATGCTCGTTTAAAGAGCCATCATTTGCTTGTACTTTTTTTTTCTTTTAAGAAAATTTAGGGGGCGTTAATGATATAGTTCTATGTCATAAATCAGCTAAAAAAGTTCCTAAAAATATGTCCAGGAACACTTTGTTTTGGAGATACAGGGTGTTTTAAAATTTCGAAAATATCACATATTTTTGTGAAGATACTTGATGCAGGCTGACGAAACCAGTGGCAGAGTTACTGGAAAATAACGTCATTAAGAATTCTGGAAATTGTACGCCATTGAATATTTTGGAAATTGGTTCCCGTCAATTTTTCAAAAATTTAAAAAATATATTAATTTTTAAATTAAAGCAAATTTGCCCTTTCAATAAATTCTAATCAAACCTCTCCATTCGACTGACGCTACGACCCTTCCAGGTAAAACTCGCCACCAACTTGGACCTGGTGATATTCTGCTGGGGCGACGAGAACGCCGACCCCGCCACCATAAAGTTCCTTAAATCGCTCGGCCTGCACGGCGTCATCTACGACAAGATCCACGAGTACTCCGGCAAGGAGGTCAAGGAGAGCATCTTCCTGGTGGAGGCTAGGGATTCGCAGAAGGAGCTGCTGAAGGTGGCGGCGGCGAACGCCGAGTCTCCCCAGAGCCCCCCGCCCCAGCCGGTGCTCAAGGAACGGGTGCTGGACTACGCCAAGGCTAAAGATCAGATCGGGGACGTCATGTCGACCGCTACGTCTCTGCAGAGTCTGGAGAGCCGCATGGTGGATTACGAGACTTCGAGTGGGACCAGCTAGCTAAGGGAGATGGAGGACTTGAGGATAGGTTCGGAGCCGGATTGAATAGTACCTTCTTTTTTTTGTTTATTATCTGGCCAAAGTCATATTTTATATGTTATTTTTATTATATGCACCAGACTTGTTTTGTCGTTTTAAATTTGTTGACGAGGGTTTTTATTCGAGAGGTATGAAAGTGTTGAGACGTACGAAAGTGTAGAAAGGCCATACGGTTTCATTTTTTTTCTTACAAAATTTTGAATTGAATATAAAGTTGATATTTCAAGCTTGACACAAACATTTATGTCTCAACTTCAAATTTCCTACTTCTAACAGGAAATTTTGTGTTTTAAACTTGAAATATCAAATTCAAACTCGAAATTTTGAATGCAAACTCAATTGCAAATTCAAACTCGAAATTTACAATTCAAATACATCTCAAGTTTAACAACCGCGAAATTTTGAGTTCGGTTTTGAAATTTTGAGTTTTGAGTTTGAAATGTGGAAATAAAAAATAGTCTCAAAATTTGATATTTTGTGTTTAAACTCGAAATTTTAAGTCCAAACTTGAAATTTGAATGCTCTCAGTTTCAACTCAAAATTTTGATTTTAAATATGAGACCACAAACTCGAAATTTTTCTAGTTTGATTTCAAACTTTATAAATAAACAGAAGTAAAAACATTGAATGTACATAATTCATTTTCTTTCGTTCATTAAATTCAAGTTCGAATTTGAAATTTTGTTTTGAAATCCAAAATTTCGAGTTCAGGTTTTGAATTTTATTTTGAAATTTGGAAAACAATGAAATATGTCTCAAAATTTCGAGTTTGAATTTAACATTCTGAGATTGGAATTTTAAGTTTGAATTTTTAAGTAGAAACAAAATTTTCGGTTTAAACTTCAAGTGTTTCAAACTGAAAATTTCGATTTTAAATACGAGACTTCAAACTCAAACTTGAAATTTCGAGTTTGAATTCTAAAATTTATAAGAAGCTAAAAACGTTCATACACAATTCATTTTCTTCCGTTCATTGAGCTCTGGCTTGAAATTATGAATTTGAGTTTGAAATGTGGAAATAAGAAATAATCTCAATTTGATATTTTGTGTTTAAACTCGAAATTTTAAGTTCAAATTTGAATTCACACAAGAAATATTCAGTTTGAACTCAAAATTTTGAATTTAAATACGAGACTGCAAACTCAAAACTCGAAATTTCGAGTCTGAATTCTAAATTTTATAAATAAACAAAGCTAAAAACATTCAATATACACAATTCATTTTTTTTTCATACATCAAATTTCAAGTTCAAATTGTAAGTTTCGAGTTGAAATATGAAATTCAACCGCAAAATTTCAAGTTTTAATTTGAAATTTTGTATTGAAATCCAAAATTTTGAGTTCATTTCGAATTTTGAATTTGATTTGAGTAATAAAATATATCTCAAAATTTCGAGTTTGAATTTCATATTTTGAGTTTGGAATTTTAAGTTTGAATTCTTGAAGTAGAAACACAAAATTTCTGGGTTAAACTTCAAATATTTCAAACCCAAAATATCAATTTCAAATTCAAACTCGAAAGCTAAAAAATATTCATTGCACACAATTTATTTTCCTTCGTTCATCAGATTTTGAGTTCAAATTTAAATTTTCGAGTTGAAATACGAAATTTTGGGTTTAACCGGGAACTAAACAGAAAAGAAAAAAAATAATTTGAAAATGTATATCCTTTCTATGCTTTCTATACAATCATGTTTTTGCCATTTTTTAATGTATATAGATATTTTTTGGAAGTGATTTTCAGAATGAGTGGAAGTTTTATTATTCGACATCCTATTGAGTATTAATTGTCTTGGAAGCGTACAGGGTGTTTAATTTGTTCCTATATTGACTGCTCTAATTTGCAGTTCTTTCTAATATCCTCAAACATTTTTAGAACCTCTGGATTGAATAATTGTAGAAAATAAAAAGTTTGAGAACTGCCGTCTTGCAGAGTTCATGCTTCATGGTATTTGAAATCGGCTTTAATATCCATCAGAAACAGTCGTAATATTTTTAGAACCTCTGGATTTCGCAATTCTAGAGATTAGAAAGTTTAAAAAATACTCGGAAGTTCTCACAGGGTTTGTGATTTATGGTATTTGAAATTTGCTTTAATATCCATCAGAAACAGAACTTCAACCAACAGTTTTAGAATTTCTGGTTTCGTAAAACAAAAAGTTTGAAAAGTGCTGATTTATAAACGTTTTCGAATAAATTTGAACATTTTCAGAACTGGATTTCAGAAGCGGGATTTAATTTCAGTTTCCTTTTTTTTTTGTGGTAAATTATTATAAACCAACTTATATAAAACTACTAGAACAAACTAACCACTCTGAACTTCTCCAAGCGCGATTAGGGAATTAGTTGCTAGAATTACTTTTTGAAATGAAAAAAAAAAAACTTTCGTAATTTGGTGTAGCGTTTACAGATATTACAAAGTATTCGATGATGTGATAATCAAAAATTCTTCCAACAAAAAAAAAAAAAAAATTTGGATATTGAGCTCATCAGGCTTGCATATAGAACGTATTGAATTGAGAGAGTGATAAGCGTAAGCTATTTTTTTACTTAAGGCATGTTTAACGCTAGGACGGAATTCAATGTTGACCGCTTGAATGGTGATTGCGCGGCAGGATTGTAACTTTTAGAAGCGTTTAGCCAACGAAGGACCCGATTATCGCTTATTAGATTTTTTTTTTTAGTTGTCGCACGTAGCTAGAAGGTCAAGTTGGCGTAACGCTTTTGAAATAAGTGTGACATTTTTACTTTTCCCTTTCCAAAATGTGTCTGTAGACTCGTTCAGTGTAATAATAATGTAACGGCAAAATTATATAGATGCAAAAGCAAAACCTGACTCTGATTTCAGGTAAATTTCAGTTTAAACTTGAAATCGGGTATATTCTCCGCACGAAATTATTTTCTGTGCACTTAGGTACAAACTTATTCAAGTAATTAAAAATTACAGTCGTACAGGCCATTAACGTCGTAAGTGGAAAACAAATGAAGATCGTATATTTTTTTTACACAAATTTGCACGTTTTGAAACTAACTTACTAGTCCGGGATGTTGGACATAAAAAGGCGGAATAAGCGAATTTTTTTACCGAGTTTTTTTTTTTTTTTTAGAAAAGTGTAGGTTTTGGGGTTAGAAAACATGTGTCACAGACGCAACCACCAGCAACATACAGCGCTTTGAGATATAGAGATATACAGGGTGTTCAAGAAGTTTGGGACCCCCCCCCCCTCTATCTTAGAAAATACTGCTCAAACAAAAAAATGATTGGGACAAAAGTTGCAGGGTTTTGAGTGAGCAATCCAACGGTGACCTTGACCATGACCTTGAAGGTCATTTAGAGGTCAAGTTGAAAATTTTAAATGAAACCATATGCTTTTGACCCCGGAAATGGTAAGAGCCGAAAATTTTAAGTTCGAATGTGACCTTGACCATGACCTTCACGGTCATTTAGAGGTCAATTTGACAATTTTGAATGGAACCGTATGTTTTTGACCCCGGAAATGGACAAAATGGGAATTTCTACGTTCGGATATGACCTTGACCATGACCTTCAAGGTCTTTTACAGGTCAAGTCAATTTTTAATAAATGACCTTGAAGGTCATGGTCAAGGTCATATCCAAACGTAAATACAGTTGAACTCGCTTATAACGAGCAGGGGATATAACGAGCACTTGGTTATAACGAGCAAATTGAAATGTCCCTTCCGAATTCCCTATGTAACACGTGTATTTTTGTTCGGCTATAACGAACTCGTATATAACGAGGACTTGGCTATTACGAGCTTTGATTTTGGTCCCGCGCAACAGTGATCTCGGCTATAACGAGTTATCGTAGAACCACTTTTTATGCACATGACATCAAATGAACGCAAAAACTTGTTATGACTAGTAGAAATAACAACATATCCGATTTTGACGTCTTTGACTTAGTTCAGTACGACATAGTAGACGAAAATCTCGAAGTGGCTGAATTCCCAAATTAAATTCAAATCACACAATTAGCGATTAACCCATCAATAGATGAAGAAAGTGATGAAGAAGAGACGGGAAGCGATGATGTTACAGTTCCTTCGACACATGAAGCCATCTCTGCGTTAAAAACCATAGTATCATACGTCGAATTCAAATATCCAGAAAACGAGCAGTTCTTAAATGTCGCTGATCAGTTGCAAAGAAATATCAGTCAGGAGATATTAAGCAAAAGAGTGGTGCAGAAAAATATTATAGAATTTTTTCGTTAATAATAAATGCTATGTAATGTAACTTACCTATAGTTATACGTATCTATGTTATGTAGATAAATAATATTATATGTTTGGAAATAAAAATACAAGTGCAATGCAGCTATAATTATGTGTCCAATAATTTTCAGCATAGTTGGCGACGGCGACGTCTATAACGAGCACTCGCGTATAACGAGCAAATTTTGCGTTCCCGTGAATGCTCGCTATAACCGAGTTTTACTGTATTTCCATTTTTCCATTTCCGGGGTCAAAAATATACGGCTCCATTAAAAATTTTTAAATTGACCTCTAAATGACCTTCAAGGTCATGGTCAAGGTCACCGTTGGATTGCTCACTCGGACCCTGCAACTTTTGTCCTGATCATTTTTTTGTTTGCGCAGTATTTTCTGAGATAGAGAGGGGGTTCCAAACTTTTTGAACACCCTGTATATATGTTCTTTCGCGTTTTTTGACTAAAAATTGCCAGTGTCTCAACGAGGATGCATTTTTTCGAAAAAAAAGTTTTACATAAAAGTTCAAAATTAAATTTTCTACAAAATTGGTCCTATGAAAAATTTCGATTTTCCCAATACTTTTTCCCGTAATTTTTTAAATGAAGTACAGATTATGTGAAAATTAATATTTTGGAGCCAAAATAATGAACGGTGGTGAAAAAAAATTATATTGATATAAATATTTTTTTTATTATTATACTTTTGCAGCTTCAGAAAATTCCTTTCCTATTGTCATCAAATTTAAATTTTCTATTTCATTATATGTATTATAAATTTTTATTTTTTAATACTCAAAGTAAAAAAAAATTACAAAAAAAAACAAATTTTTTCGGAAAATATTAAAAAGCGTATAATTAATTTGTAATGTACACCCTCGAAAGCCTATAAGTGATACATTTGATGATAAATATTCAAACCTCGGAAAACTATGTAAGATTTTCCAAGAATTTTCCACAATTTTCTGTTCCCTAATTAATTTTTGTTATCTGTTATGTTAAAACTGAATTGGCCATTATTTTGGCTCCAAAACATTCATTTTCACTTAATCGGAACCACATTTAAAAAATAACTATACGAAAAAACTGATGGGAAAATCGAAATTTTTCATAGGAGCAGTTTTGTAAGAAATTTACTTTTTAATTGCAATTTTTTTCGAAAACATGCATCTTCATTGATATATTGCCAGTTTTTGGTAAAAAAACGCGAAAAATCATATAAACAAGGTGTCCCATTTTAGTTTACCAGGCTGCATAATTTTTTTAATTCAATTTTTATAAAAAAATATTTCGAACAAAAATTATCAGGTTTCGAAGGGGTCAAATTATGGCAACTTTGAATTTGACCTTGAAATAAATTATCAAGGTTATTTCAAGGTCAATTTTGATTTTTTAAATGGAAACTCATGTTTTATTGCAAATTCACAAAAAATTCACTGAATATCAAATATTTATAATTTTTTAATTTTTTAAAATTTAAGTCGT